ATATCGCCCCCACAGTCTGGGGCCTCATTTCACCCACCTCGGATGGAAGGCTGAGTCAACCCTGAGCCGGTGAGATTTGAACAGCCGAACTGCAGAACTGCAGTCAGCTGAAGTAGCCTGCAGTGCTGCATTTAACCACTGTGCCACCTCAGAGCCCAGGAGGGCCGTTGTGGCCGAAAACGGAGCCTCGATAAGTGACATCGCGCTAGCCACATCCCCCCTGGCCACACACTGAGGTCAAACACAACCCTGATGCGGCCCTCAATGAAATCAAGTTTTGACACCTCTAACCATAGAACATAGAATAGATAGTTGGAGATTTTGGATATTTCAGCATGTGGCCACTGTGCCCTTTGTAACAGTCCTTCTGCTCGATTTATTTTTTTCTCTTCAGGCGAAGATGCAAAGATTAACCCGCTAAACGCGGACACCGTCTTTTCCCCAGCCAAATCGAGCATCTTGGATCGCCGCACCGGGAAAATATTTACCGTGGAAATGAGCCCGGAGGCATTGCTACAATTTTTGTGGAAGAGCAAGTCGGATAACGACCAGTTAGCAGCCTTGCACTGTCTCCTACTACACGTCGGAAGCACGGAGGAGTTGGAAGACCAGGTGGGGTGAGGGCGTGTATCGCTTCTCCAGTCTGCCCGACGGAAATTGTCGTCTGCTTATTGTTGGGTATAAAATAGAAAATACGTTGGACCCACTGTTGCTTTTTTAAATCAAGTCAGTTGCCAGTTACCACATATTACAATATATCTCAGTTAATTTGGGGCATCAGAAGGTGAGCATGTTTTGATATAACCACAAATACAATTCATTTTTGTACATTGCTATTTTGATCTCACAAGCATATATCCCTTGTCCTCATTTGTCTATTTGTCTAAGTATAGTCTGATTTCAGTTCTACTAATCTTCATTGTTTTCAACCGACACGACTTGACGACCGTAATTGCAGGCTCGGTGACAGTCCTAAATCGAGGACTAGCTGTCCATGGGAGTTTTTAAATGAATTTTTTAAAGTTTTTCACTCGATTATGAGTAGCAGGCGACTTAGCCCTTGTTACACTAAGACAGCCGTTCACAGGGAATTCAACCCCCTTTTACAAGGTGTGATGATGGCTTGCAGGTGATACCAGATTTGGTTTTCTCTTTTTAACAGATCATCCAGTGGCTTTCCGAGAACGCATCAAGTTGTTTTGCATTTGATCCTATACAAGAAGTAATCATTGGTAAGTGCTTTTGGGCCTGGGTCCTTCCTACAAGGTTCCACCACAAAACCGTGGTAGACTAAAGCGCGCTCGACGAAAGCGCGTACGTGACGTCATCACAGCGCGATGAAAACAGCGTGCTGTGAGCAGTAAACTTAAAATTAACGCCCCCCAAACCTAACCCTAACAAACCTAACCCTAACCCTAACCCCCCCCCAAACCTAACCCTAAACCTAACCCTAACCCTAAGCCTAACCCTTAACCTAACCCTAAACCTAACCCTAAC